TCTCTCTCTTGGGGCTGGGTCAGCAAGGCCAGCTGGGAACGGTTTGTGCCCACTCTCCTGGGCCTGGCAGTGGGAGGTGCGGTGGCCCAAGACAGAGCCAAACTTCTCTTGTTTGAGGATGTGGGGGGTGGAGGGGCCTTCTGCGGGCGGTGGGGCTCATTAGGCAGAGTGGGGTGCCGAGAGGTGCGCAGCGTCGGCCCCGGAGGCCGCCTTTGAGCCGTTGGGGCAGCTTCATTAAGCGGCGCTAACAAGGCATACAAATGCCGGGCCCAGCAGCTTTCTTGCAATGCCGGGGCCTTAGCAGGGCGCCAAGCTAATGAGGGTCACTCAAAGGGGCTGATCAAATATTCAAATTTCCCCGCACGCCAGGAACTTTTATGTGCGGAGAAAGTTGAGGCAACTGAGCTGTGTTTACTGTCCCGGGCGACAATTGCTCCGAGCGCGCGGGTCCCCGGAGGCTAAGGCGGGGGGCGGGGGCGCAGGGAGGGAGTAGTTGTTGTTGTTGTTGTTGTTTTTCATTCAAAGGAAAGCAATCGGGGTCCTTGAAGGGCTTCGCGGCCTCCCCGCCTACGTGCTTCACTCGCCTGCGCCCTGTCCGCTGCCCGCGCCGAGCGCCTCAGTTTGGAGCTTGCGGGGAGGCCAAAACCGCGGGCCACCGGACCAGCCCCCGCCTCCCGAAGTCCTGGGGGCTGGAAGGGCCGTTGCCCCCCAGGACAAACCGGCCTCACGGAGCTGAGCAAGGCCGAGTGGGTGTAGTTGCTCCAGCCGGGAGGCTTGCGGACCTCTTGGCTTTCCCGGTAACGCCAAGCAAAGAGTGAGTCTCTCAGGCACCTCTCCTGGTGGAGTTGAGACTGCTGGGGTTGGGGCTGATTTTGTAAATAAATGCCCAGTAGGTCCTAGTACGAGAAAGACACTTGCCAGCCCAAACGCCCTTTCTCCCTGCACCACCTGTACGCAGTCCTGCCGGTTGCCTGGCCCAGGATTAAAGCAGAGACGGTGGTGGCAATTTTGTGACCTCGGCCTGTACGGGCTCCAAGTCCCAGATCCGGGAGTCTGAACGGCCAGAGGGCAGGGGAGACCTACAGGCCCCGCGGGCTGACCCAGTCATCCCAATCTCCACGCTCTGAGAGATCCTGGTTGCTGGCGCCCCCTTCGGCGCCACCCCTCCAGATGTCCCCCAGGCTCAGCTCCCTTTCCTCAGCTGCCCACTGCCTCGAGCCCCCAGAGCGGCGGGAAAGGCGCCTGGGCCCCGGAACCCGAGGTCCTTCTGCTCCTACGCCCCTCCCCAACGCCCAGAGCCTGGGAATTTGGGAGGGGAAGCTTTGGTGCTTCATAGCCCCCTCCCCCACACGACCAGCACTCCTAGACCGGGACCCCACGGAGCCTGCGCTCCCAGCTCCGCCGGGAGCTCGTCCAGCCATCCTCGCCGAAGACCGGCCGCCCCGCCTCCCCTTCCTCCCCCCCGCCCCAACCAAGCTCTCGGGACTCTCAACTTACGGGCTCCCGGCTGCGGGCGTCGTGCTTCGGGCCAGAGCGGAGAGGCGCTGGCGGTCGCGGGGCAGCGAGGTGGGCTCCGTGGGCGGCGCGGAGCTCGGTTCCGCGGGGAGCCTCTGACAGCCCCGGGCTGGCCGCCC